GGAGGCCAAGGTGAGAGGCTGCTCGAGCCCAGATGTTTAATACCAGCCTCGGCAACATCGCATGGCCTCATCTTAACAACAGAAAGTTAGCTGAGTATAGTGGCAGGCCTGTAGTCCCTGCTGTTTAAAAGGCTGAGGTGGAAGGACCACCTGAGCCCAAGAGGTCCAGAGTGCAGTCAGCCACGATTGTACTACTGCACTCCAGCCTGGGCAACAGAGTATAAGACTCTAACTAAAAGAAAAACCCAAAACCTTTTTAACTCTTTTGTAAGAACACATAGCTTAAAACACAAACACACTGTACAGCGGTACAAAAACATTTTCTTTTTCTATTTTACAAATTTATATATTTTTACTTTTTTTGAGTTGGCATCTCACTCCGTTGCCCAGGTTGGAGCGCAGTGGCACACTCACGGCCACCCCAGTGTCAACCTTCCAAGTAGCCAGAACTACAGGTGTGCACTTCCACGCCTGGTTAATTTTCATTTTACCGTTGAGATGAGGTCTCGCCAAGTTGCCCAGGTTGGTCTCAAAAGTGCAGGCTCAGACAATCCACTTGCCTCAGCCTCCCAAAGTGCTGGGATTACAGGCTAAGCCACTGAGCCTGGCCTATTTTCACTTTTTAAACTTTTTTGTAAAAAACACACACACACATTAGCCAACGCCTACAAGGGATCAGGATCATCAGAGTCTGTATCTTCCACCTTAACATCTTGTCCCACTAGAAGACCTTCAGGGGCAGTAACATGCATGGAGCTGCCATTTCCTATGACAACAATGCCTTCTCCTGGAACACCTTCTAAAAGACTTGCCTGGGACTGCTTAAAAGTTAACTTTTAAAAAACATAGTAGGCTCAGTCTGTAATCCCAGCATTTTGGGAGGCCAAGGGGAGAGGATTGCCTGAGCCCGGGGGTTCGAGACTAGCCTGGGCAACTTAGTGAGACCTCGTCTCTACAATAAATCACAAAAAACTAGCCGGGCCTGGTGGCATGTGTCTGTAGTTCCAGCTACTGGAAGGCTGAGACGGAAGGATCACCTGAGCCCAGCAAGCCAAGGCTGCGGTGGCTGTGAGCGTGCCACTGCACTCCAGCCTGGGCAACAAAGAGTGAGATTCCAACTCAAAAAACAAAAACAAACAAAAAACTAGTAGAAGACCGGGTGTTGTGGCTCAAGCCTGTAATCCTAGCACTTTAGGAGGCCGAGGTGACAGAACTGCCTAAGCTCAGGGGTTCGAGACCAGCCTGGGCAACTTGGTAAGACCTCATCTTTACAATAAATAAAAAAATAAGAAAGGTATACTAGTGTGCACCTGAAGTTCCAGCTACTTGGAAGGCTGAGGCAGAAGGATCACCTTAGCCCAGCACTCCAGCCTGGGAGACAGAGTGAGACTGACTCACAAAAAAAAGTAGTAGAAATACTCAAAAATAATAATAAAAAGTATAGTATAGCAAATACATAAACCAGTAACAGCAGTTTATTATTAAGTATCATATATTACACACAACTGCCTGTGTAGTACGTTTACAAAACTGGCAACACAGAAGGTATTATACCAGCATCACACAGACATGTGAGTCATGGGTGTTGGGCTATGATGTCAGGACAGTTGTGATATCACCAGGTGACAGACATTTCTCAGCTTCATGATAATTTATAGAATCACCATTGTCATGTGAGCTGTTGTTTTGCTATTTTTTTTTTTTTTTTGAGTCAGAGTCTCACTCTGTTGCCCAGGTTGGAGTGCAGTGGCACACTCATGGTGACCATGGACTCGACGTGCTTGAACCTCTGGGCTCGGGCAATCTTCTTGCCTCCGCCTCCCAAAGTGCTAGGATTATAAGCGTGAGTCACTGCACCCAGCCGACATGTTGTTGACAAAAACTTTCTGTGATAGCACATGTCTGTATATCAGGAAGGTGGAGATGTGTGTAACTCTGGGATCCACTCTCCATAAGACTTTAAAAGTAGTAGCACTGGCCAGGAGCGGTGGCTCAGCCTGTAATCCCAGCACTTTGGGAGGCCAAGCTGAGAGGACTGCCTGATCCCAGGGGTTCAAGATCAGCCTGGGCAACCTGGTAAGACCTCGTCTCTATAATAAATCACAAAAAATTAGCTGGGCGTGGTGGCATGCGTCTGTAGTTCCAGCTACTTGGAAGGCTGAGGTGGAAGGATCGCCTAAGTGCAGCAAATTGAAGCTGTGGTGGCCGTGAATGTGCCAATGCACTCTAGGCTGGGTGATGAGTAAGACTCCAACTCAAAAAAAAAAGTGGCAGCACTTGAAATCTAGTTTATATCCACATGTATTAAGCCATACTGTTAGAAAAGAATACATCTGCAGGAGATCCTATTTTATGATAAGTGTTTCTATTATTCAGCTGAACACATAAAAGGAGAGAAATATTTCCTGGACTCTCCAAGAGCAATACAGTGTTAGAGTAAAGCAAGACTCACTCATCTTTCTGTCCCTCTAGTTCAAAACCATCAGTTATAAGCTGAAAGGGAAACTATGCTTAAATACCAAATGCACAGAGCTCTAACTTTGAGTGAGGTTTTCTATAATCACAGCTAACTTTCTTAAAAAGTGCTTATTTTAATAGCACCTAGTTTTAAGTGCTTATTTTAATAGCACCCTATTTTCCTAAGTGTGTTTAATGTACTGATACCTTCAATCCTCTTAATAAGCTTATGAGTAGGCATATTATCATTATTTTTTAATTCTCTCTCTTCTTTTTTTTTTAAGTCAGAGTCTCATTCTGTTGCCCAGGCTGGAGTGCAGTGGCATGCTCACAGTCACCCGTGTCGACCTGCTGGGTGGGTTCCGACAATCCTTCTGCCTCAGCTTTCCAAGTAGCCAGAACTACAAGCGCAGGCTACCATGCCTGGCTAATTTTTTTTTTTTTTTTTTTTTTGATATATTGTAGAGACAAGGTCTCACCAAGTTGCCCAGGCTAGTCTTGAACCCTTGGGCTCAGGCAATCCTCTCACCTTGGTCTCCCAAAGTGCTGGGATTACAGGCTTGAGCCATCATGCCCGGCGACACTATTATTATTCTCTGAGGAAACTGAGGCTTAAGAAACTGAGTAAGTCAAGGTCACACAAGGCTGGGATACAAACCCAGGCAATCTAACCCAAAGCCTGTCCTCTCACTGCTCGGCTGTGTGTGGTTCTCAGCCATATTTGATCCACAGATTCTTTGCTTATAACACACTTTTAAGGCCCCTCTTACTTACAGCGAAACATATCTATAAAAAGTAACATAATGCTCTAACTGTAATATACATGAGTGATAAAAATAACTTACAAAACTGGGTGCGGTGGTTCACGTATGTAATCCCAGTACTTTGGGAGGTGAAGACGTGACCACCCTGAGCAACTTGTGTCTACAACAAATAAAAAAATCCACCGGGTGTGGTGGCACATGCCTGTAGTTCTAGCTACTTGGAAGGCCGAGGTGGACGGATCACCTGAGCCCAGCAGGTCAAGGCTGTGGTGGCTGTGAGTGTGCCACTGCACTCCAGTCTGGGTGACAAAGTGAGACTCTGACTCAAAAAAAAAAGCAAAAAATAAACAAAAAAACCCTCACTAAATAAGTAGCTCACCATCATAAAAAATTATAAGTGAGATAACAGATCTGTTAATTAGCTTGATTTAATCATTCCACACTACATACCTATGCTAACACATTACACTGCAACCTATAAATGAATACAATTACAATTTATCAATTAAAATATTAATTAAAATGTGTATTCACTAAACAAATTTTTTTAAATTATGATTTTAATTAAAAGTGTCTGGCACAACTACACTAATAGACCAAAAAGAACTCTGGACATTTCCAAAATGCCTGAAAGGGCAGTCAGTTTTGCCTCATTGCCCTATTGCATGCTGATTTCCTATTGTCTCACAGCTTCTCTTTGGCAGAGCTGTAGTCTCTCCCTCTTTTCTTAGTCACGCGTGTTGAGATCACTCTGCACCCTTTTAGATAAACATAATGATAAAATCTGGACAACCAGCCAGGCTCAGTGGCTCAGCCTGTAACCCCGCGCCTTTGGGAGGCTGAGGTGAGTGGATTGTCTGAGCCCGCGGGTTCAAGAC